AAAAAAAATGTAAATGTATATCATATTCTGTCTCAGACTGTTTTAGGGCATTTTACTATTGTTTTCTGTGGCAAAGAAATATCTCAATATTTTAGTGGATGACATAGGGTGAAAAATGATATATAGTATCTAACAATGTACTTGTTCATTTCTAGAAGTATAAAAAAATGACATTATTTTAGTGGGTTTTCTTTTTGATCCATGGGAACGACTGCTAAAATGCCATTTTATACACAGTTTTTCTGACAGTGAATTAAAAAAGTTCACATAATATTAACTAATATTAATAATTATTAAAGGTCATATTTTGACCCAAAATATTGTTGCTGCTATATGTGCTGTAAAATATACACAAATGTCAAAAAAGTACCTTTCTATCTTAACACAAACTACAAGTTTTGTCAACCTGCATATGTAACTACCAAATTATAACAGAGGTGACTGTGGTGAAATACAAGATGAATAAAAGACTGTGAAAGTTACTCTTTCATTTCTAATGCAAATTAGCTGAAATTAAAATTGACTAATTACTGGTATGTAATTTCTCTATTTTGATATCTGCATGATCATATCCACTGGGTTTTAAATTCACAGATTTTAAATATATCTTACTGTCGTTGTAATCTTCTTTAAACAATATACCGGTACATATAGATAAATAGACAATATAATAGCAAACATAAACAGTGAAAAAAACAAAAAAACAGTGAAAACTGAAAATGTGTATCATGTCACGTCCATCATTATCCGATATGTCTGGATCAATTTTGGTTAAGTCATATTGAAATATGTACTTCTATTTATTTTTCATTTTATATTTGACTGGCTGCAACCAGTTTTGACCCAAATAATACCAAAATCAACCTTTGGACATGCCATCAACCATTTCTCAGGCTTGTCTTCTACCTATTTCTCAGATATGCTTTCATAGATTTTGTTTGAAACTGATACAAAGGCAAGGCATAACATGCAATGGTTGCATGATCCTCTCAGGTATTTTTAGATTTTGATAAAATTTAACCAAATGGAAGCCATGCATTTTTGTCAACAAAAATGAATTAAAATGACAAAATTTGAAAATGTCATAAACCATTTCACAGGCTTGCCTGAGCAGATTTTATTCAAACTGGGCATGTATGTCACCCATGATGGGTCATTGATGGGAATGGCTGACTGGTGGCCATGTTGGTTTTATTTTCATGCATCTTTAATCATTTTTTGGACATACTTTCACTGATTTTGTTAAAATTAGGTACAAAGACAAGATAATACATTGTACTGGTATAAATATGAAAGCTGATTTGTTTTTCATTTTGATGAATCTCTGGCGGCCCTTTTTGTCCCAATAAACAACAGGTGAATATGTCATCAACAGTTTCTCTGTCTTGCTCGATTTCATTTAAACATGCTTAGAACGTCACACATGATTGATTTTTGCATGTAATTTTTTTTTTCTATTTTGATTCAAATAGCCGACTGGCAGCCATGTTGGTTTACTTTTATGTGTCTTTAGCCATTTTTGGTACATGATTTGACTAATTTTGTTCAAGTAAATACACAGACAAGACATAATGTTATTTATAGGGTCATTTGCTTCAGTGTGTCATGAACTGTTTGTGCCTGGTCTGTCTGTTTTTATTCAAACTTGTATTTACTCATGGTGGGTCACTCATTAAATTTATTTTCATGATTTGATTCCAAAATTAGCATAAAAACCTGTCATGCAGAAAGAGGATGTAATGGTGTATATATTTCTTGCAGATTCAATGTCTGTAGGTTTCATTCACAACCATTTCTACCAACATGTATTTCCAGTGTTACAATCATATCCAATTTTATTTTGTTATTCATGATATCTATTGCATTTATTATTAATTATTTCTTTTCCAATGACCTTTGTTCTATTACATATGTGTCTCATATCAGAATGAAATATAAGCTCCATGTCCATGA